GTTCCACAGGTATATTTTTGTCCTAATCTGTGTGAGAAGCTTAAAGTTTTTTCTTAGTCAGTGTTTGTTAATTGTAAACCATAGAAATGCTTAGAAGGAAGTACTGAAAGGAAAGTTAGGAAGAACTGGTGCATCTGTTTCAGATGGTTTGTTAGTTTGTGTGCATTATTTTATAAACTGAGAAAAACATTTCCTCAGACCATATGCTTATATGTTAGGTGAATATTGTTGAATAAAGTAGACATGGCCTCTACCTCATAGAGCTTTTAATCAGTACAGTTAGAAGTTCCTGATACCTAATTTAAATAAACCCAGACTTTTGAGTTATCTAACACTGAATGTAATTGTTACTCATCTCAAACATTTCTAGTAGGAGAAAACTGTATGTAATTAGGACACTTGGGATTAGTAGTAATAAATACTAAAAAAAAAAAAACCTAATTTGTAGGTAAAATCTACAAAGGAATGAAATGTACAGTACCAAAGCACTTTAGACATAGTCCAATATTTGTATAGACCAGGTCAGAATACTGAGAATGCTTTAGGTGAGGAGAAAATGAGCTAAAACAAAAATCAGGATTAAAATGATCATTTTGATTTTTTCCTGGCTAAATTTTAAAATAGCATTTAAGTGCTTAAAGATGTGGCCTCATGTAATTGGACTTAGTTTTTGGTAGCAGTTTTTCTTTCCAGTATATTTAGAATGTAATTTTTTTTTTTAACATTGAAATGGTTTTCTTGAAACTAAAGTCTAATAAGAGAAGCAAATCATATAAATTTAGACAGCTTTGATGAGTACATTTTCCAAATTGCTATATTATACATTAACCCATATAGGAAGAATTTGAAATTGCAGTAAAGTAAGGAAAGTTTTAGAAGTGAAGTGAAATATTTTTTGAGAAAAATATCAAAAATCAAGAAACATACTTACCTTTTTTGACTTTCTCCTTCAGTCTAGTTTTTATGTGGCACTGTATTTAACTTGGAAAACTCATAGGTTGATGCCCCCTTGTGGTCTCTTACCAAAATAAATAGTACAAATATAAGTGCWAGAGTTCTTATTGCATGTTAAATCATTCATTCATTCCTTTATAAAATAATTTTGAAAAAGCAATTTATGGGGAAAAACAGTAAAAAATTATTATTTCTGTTGTCTCTATAATTTATCGATCTTACAATTTATCAAATATAATCCTTATTTATTTTAGTTGTAGTTGGACACAATTTATCAAATATAATTTTTATCTATTTATTTAAATTGTAGTTGGACACAATACCTTTGTTTTTATTTATTTATTTTTATGCGGTGCTGAGGATCAAAGAGTGCTCTACTGCTGAGCCAGAACCCCAGCCCTTTATCAAATATCATTTTAACCCTTTGTAACAATATACTAGCTGGACCCTGATGTACAGAAAAATAGGTTGTTTGGGTAGATTGTTCATCATGGTCATTATGGGCATCTAACTCCCTTAATTATTACAAATTGTTAAAACTGTGATTATATGTCAGAGTGATTATGAGGTTAGCTTATTACTTCCCAGCTCTCYGCCCCCAAACACATATATTCATATATTCCCCCTCCCTTCCTCCCTTTCTCCCCTTGGGCACACATGGTATTTGTATATTTACTTATTTGGTTGAAAGGCCAGAAGAAATAAGGATTTCTACTAGTGAATTGGTGACTTTAAGCTTATTGGCTTTTACTGACATTATTGAGAGTGTCTTCTTTATATTTGAGTGTTAGTTATATAAGGAGGAAGTGGAGGAGAAACAGCAGCAGCAATCAATGTTTTAAGAAAGATTATAGATGTAAACAACTGCCTTTCTTTTACTCAGTAAGTTTTGTCAGGATTGGAAACAGTCCAATACAAAGGGGTATGGGCTTTGAGATTTTAAAGATCTGGTTTTAAAACTGATTTTCATCTCCTACCAGTTTTTGGACAGTTGTATAATATTGGATAAACTACTTTATCTTGAATACAGGCTTCTTCTCTTTAGAAAGAGGTTAAACCTAACTCATTGAAATGTTTGCAGCTTGATATTTATCATTTGAAGTCTTGGGATATACCATCATTCTTCTAAATCTTAAAAGGACACTTTGGGGATGTAAAGAAAATATACCATATAATTTTGTAGCTACTTTATTGTTGATAAGTACTTCCAATGATAGTTTGTATTTTAAAAAGTGGTAAATCTGATGATAGTTTGTATTTTAAAAAGTGGTAAATCGGGCCACAGTTTTGTTTCTTTATCATGGATACTTATTGCTGTAGTACTACATAAGTACATATTTTATTTACAAATTCTTGACTTACAATCATTATATTGAAGAATTTCCTAGGTCAATTATTTTAATAGTATAAGCCTATTAATCAAATTATTTTTTATAAAAATGATGCAGAAACTTTTTAAAAAAAATAATATTTGAAAATTTTTATAGAATTATCTTTAAAACAAAACTAGTATTGTTCCTTTATAGCTATCTTTGTTTTGTGGAAGTAGACAGAGCAACGAAATGTTTTCTGTTTTTTTGCTTTGTTTTTCAACAATTGTTGATAGAACCAGAATCACTATCTTGTGGTCACTTCATTTAATAATTAAAAGAGTTACTCTGAATTCTCTGTCAGAAGAAGCAAGATATATTGGAATTTACTTCACAGATAAATAAAGAAGGTGTTTTGTTTTGTTTTTTAAACCCAGGTACATTCAACTTTGAATCATATAATTTTTCCTAAAATTTTCTTTGGCAGGTTAAAATCATCTCAGAATATAAGTGCAACTGTAGAGTTTAAATACTTTTTGAAAATTGGTAGACCATAAATTGTATAAAAATATAATAGTAGACACACCATCAGAAGGTTATTAATTTATTTTCATATCTGTCTTTTTTTGTTCCCCTTCTTTCTAATTTCTAAAATATTACATCTGTGGTCTGCATTAATGCAGTGGCTCTGATGTTAAAGACATCTAATAAATACTTTAAAGACAACCAATAAATACTTTAAATATAAAGCAATATTTTGATATTGAAAGTTTCTCTTGTAAACTAATGAAATGGATTTTTGTTGGTCTACCCTTGAGTATCTGTTCCTAGGGAGACTATTTTAGGAAAGAAAAGGGATCAGGGGAGTAGAGGAAAGGATGGCTAGAACAAAGTGGAAAATAGACTGTGTGTGTGGGGAGTGATGGCAAGAATACATGCCATCCTACCAGAGACTTGTTTTTAAACATAAAATGCATATGTGCCAAATTTACATATTTACTAATTAAAAAGGCTTCCTGGAAACATTAAGTAGACTATCTTCTATAACCTTTAACACCGTCACTAATGGATATAGCCTAGAAAATTTCATCGAAGGTCCTTTAAATAATGTAAATGATTATGAATATGTAACTAGTTAATATGCAGCTATGAAAGGATTATCATGTAGAGGTTAATGAACATTCTGCTCTTATGGTTTGCAGGGCTTTTCTTTTTGTGCTTTTGGCTCACTTCATGCTTGGAAACACATGCATTGGTATTGGAAAACATCCTGACTGTTTTGGGTCTCATCTTTTAATGGGGCTGTTAAATAGGAACTTTATAAAATGAATTTCTTAAAGATTTTTTCTTTTTTAAATTTACATTTAATTCTGTTTGTCTACTTTATAATTACTGCCAAATCAGAAACAGTGAAATAGATTGATGTAGTTTTAGCTTGGCTTTTCCAGATGTAAAGTCAGTACTCTATTATATAGTACCACTGTTATTAAGTGTTGCTATGTGATTGATACTTACTAAGAGATCTTCATTCTAAAACGGACTTTTTATGCTGAGTTAATGTGTAGTATGGTTGGGTATCTGATTACAGCATGTATTTTGGTACAGGATTACTGCCTTAGTATTTAAAATGTACCAAAGAAGGACATTTATTTCAGGAATTAAATGTTATAATAGAGGAATTTAGTGACAAGTAAAAAAAAAATCTCGTGATTTTTGGATGCAACATTGAACACAGCCAATATTGGTATTTAGAACTAAACTAGAGCAGTGGGTTGCAAACCAAATCATAACTGCTGTCTTTTTCACGTGACCTTAGCATTTTGGCTTTTATTCCTTAGTTTCTCTGTCTCTAAAATGGTGCTGTGGTATGCTAGATTTCTATTTAAAATTTTTATTAATGGGTGATTTAAAATTAGGTGATTATCAATCTGTAAAAATAATATTAATTTTAAAAGTGTGATTCAAAAATAGTGGTATTTTAAAATTTATATTTTTCCTATCCTCATTAGGGTTTTTGTTTTTGAGCATTTTGAGAATCTGTTACAATATCTCAAAGGAAAAAAATAACATTTGTTCTTAATTCCATGGTTTTAGTATTATAAACCTAGTTTAAACTGGCTGTGAAGTGCTTAAAATTTTATCATAATTCACTGGGGAAAGAATGAGCTGTTCAGAGCAACTCTTTATCCCAAGTATTTCTTCTTGAAATGTAGTAGAAAAATATCACTGAACTCATTTTTAATGCATCAGAATAAAAATTACAGGTGAAAACATTTGGAGATATACTGACAAAATAAAATATTTTCACTACTGTCATTTTTTTCTTTTTTCTTTTTTTTTTACTGATGAAATGTGGATGTTACATTGGTTTCTAGTTATTTATAACATTTGCGTATTCTACAAAATATGTAACAGTGAAAACAGGTCTGTAGATTGTACAAAATACAAGTTATCTTATATCATATGTCACCTAATAGTTATGAAGCGAGTTTTGTACCAAAGTATGAATTGGAAAGCTGTAATTTGTTCTGCAGTTATCAGCCTGCATTAGAGGGTTATGATAAAGTGAACTGCTTAAAAACTAACATTCACATCTCTGTGCATTTGACAAATAAAAATGTATGCTGAAATGCTATTAAATCTGTAAAGCTACTGTTCTAGTTTTCTGATAGACTATTTTTGTTACTCTTTGCATAGCTCTGTTTTTTCATGAATAGTTATCTGTTTTTATGACAGGTGGTCACTAACTGCCAAGAGAAAATCCAGCATTGGTGAGTGAAAGATGGTTTTATTATATTTCTGAAATACTGTTGGGTCACCTACTTGTATTTAAAAAATGTGCGTACTGGTTTTGTGTGTCTGTGAGATCAGTAATTGAATTCTTTTAGTTATCTCCATTTTGAGTAGCTTTGATATTAATTTGTATATTTTTTATCCTTTTCTGAATTACATATTCCCTGATTTCTTGAAATTGTTACATTTGTGTTTCTCCATTTTAAAAAATGTTAGAATAATATTAATATCATGAAGTATAAACTTAGTCATATTTGAACGTAACTTGTCACAGAGAGCTCTGAGTATTTTCTGTATTGCTAGTAGAAAAATAATTGGGATCAGTTGTTTTAAAATAATGATGGAAATATGGCACAGATAAATTTTTTGAAAGTTTGAAAATCGAATTTTCTATATTTCAGAACTTGTTTTATGGATTGCACTTTTTTAGAGAGAAAGAAAGCATATCTATTAATGTGTTAATGTATAGTTAACAGGACAATGTTTGGTAAATAACATATTTCCTTTTTCTTSTGAGGAAAATGCTCAATTTAATAGTGAATAAAATCTTATATTTTGAGTTGTCATGAGATATAGCTGTTGATCTTACAGATATCAAATTACAATATATCCATGCTGTGTTTACKAAGATTTTACTGAGAGAACAACAGGAACTGTCTTGATTATTGTCTGCAGGGTTATTGCAAAATCATGGTAACTGCCCCTTTAGTAGTGAGATTAAACCTTCGGTTATACACCATCAAGCATATAATATTTTAAATTTATTTTAAGAGGCTTTTTCTTCATGCCTGAGAGATCTCCAAGGAAATAATTTATAGTTAGTGTATATCAAATGTTTTTTGGTATAAATGCACATGGTCTGCAAGCAGTGGATAAGAGTAAAAATCAGTGCAATCTGTACACATCATCTTATTAAATTTTGACTATTGGCTTGCAGAAAATAATCTAAAACTAATGATATCCATTTTATAAATAAAAATTCAGGATTTCATTAATTTTCAATAAATGCAGCATTGTAGTTGCATCCATGGTGGTGTAAGTCTGTCAACATTTCCATAAATGGACTATTCGTTTTTCATTATACATTCAGTTCAGGTTAAATGTGAAATGCAAGTCCTTGGCCAAAGAATGCTTTTCTCTTGAAAATTTGGCTAAAGCTATTCATTTTAAAAATAATTCTCAAGGGACATTTTATTAATGTGAACTTCTGTCAGTTTTGGCAAGGGGTTAGGAAATTAGAAAAGGATCTATTAGAACAGATACCAGCTTACATAAATATGTAAGTAATAACCTGCTTCTGGTTGTTTTTTGTGCCTATTAAGAGAGTTCTTTAAGAATAAAATGCACATGTTTTTATCGTATTATCCACAGTTCCTTCTCTTTGTGTTTGGCACAAAATAGGCACTTAATGAGTGCTTGGATAAATGAAGATGAAATATATAGTTTTTTTAACCTACTATTTTAGTTTAAAAATGATTTTAGCAGTATACAATCCTGGTGAACAGTGACAGGTAAGAAGTAAGAGCAGGTTCATGTGACCCTATCTCACATTCTGAAGCCTTCCATATTTGCCTAAATACATCTTAATATCATACCTTATCTGTACACTAACAATTAAAATTATTTTTTTCAATTTACATTTGCTTCTTCCTTTAATTACTTCTGATATGGCTTATGGAATAGACTTTCTGTTTACTTTATATTTATTCATGTACAGATGGATCATGTACATAGTCTATCAATATTGATAGAATCTAAATGGCCAGTGAACTCATCAATTTATTATGTTCAAAAATTAAAACCAAAGTGTTTCCATTCTTTTGAGAGCCAGGAAATTGTTATTTGGGAGCATTGTGGGATTCTTCTGATATATTTACATTGTTTTAATTCCTCAAACACTAATTGAGTTCCTTCCCCATTTTAGTATTGTGCTTTTTGGAGTTGAAAGAATCTGCCATGGAGGGATTTATAGTCAGGTGCTAAACAGAGAAATCACAATAATTTTGTGCTGCTTGCAGAGATATGAAGCAAATACAGAGGGAGTTGAGAGGCTAGAGCCATTCCTAAGCATGTCTCACATACTATTTTTAAAAGCATGTTATTTTTAATTCTTCTTTGACTCTTGGTGTTAGCCCAGTCTGAAATACAATTGTGTAGCTAAGCTTGCTTTTTTTATGGATATATATCAATATAACAAGGGAGAGCAAAAATATATGAAATAAAAAATTTATTCTTTTGCTAGTGGTGTATATGCTTGTTTGTACAATTTTAAAGGATTCTTTTATTTAAGGGACAAGTAATGTATAATCTAGGCTTCAGAAATAATTTTGATTTTTTTTTTAAAACATATAATAGGAAGTAAAAGTATTTATAGAAAAGTATGAGTGAAAATGGTCTAGGACCACAGGACCTGCCCAGAAAAATCTCTTCCATAAAATTAAATCAAATTCTAAAATGGTGGTGAACCAAGAAATTTATAGTATTTGTTTATTTGATAATAACAGATTAAAAGGAAGTTTTTGAGCTTAACAGATGAGAATTTGTTCAACACTATTTTAGAGCTAATACTTAATACTGGTTCTTATAAAATTTTTTCCCCTTAACTCAGATAAGGTATAGTAAAATCTAAACACATTTTCTCATTAAAATGTGAGTGTGTATCCCATTGTTTGTTCACTAGTGGTTGGTTGATTATTCTGTTTGTGGATTATTTTTAATTTTTAATTCTTTCTCAAAGAACATGGGATTTCAAGTCAGTGGGAACTGAACATATGTAAGAAGAAACCATGTATCATTTGTACCCTTTTATATATCTTAAATTTTGAAAGAAATGTATTGCCTAATTAAATTTTTTTTTGCTTAAATCTTAATGTATAGTCATTTTTAATGTCTTAAAGATATATGCTACATTTGAATTCTCTCATTTATTAACTTTGTAACCTTGGGCATTTATAACCAAGTGTTTTATTTTCTTTGTAAAATGATGATGCCATGTAACTCACAGGGTTGTAGTGAACATCAAATGAGGTTATGTCTAGAAACTATCCAGCCTGGCATTCAAGTATTATTATTATTAAAAAAWWTTTTTTTTTAGTTATACACAATATCTTTATTTTGTTTATTTACTTTTATGTGTTGCTGAGGATTGAACTCAGTGCCTGACATGTGTGAGGCAAGCACTCTGCCACTGAGCCACAACCCCAGCCCTCAGGTATTATTAATAACACATACATAAACAAAAATGCGTATGTTTTGTAAATATTCATGAATATTCTATATTTATGCTTGTTTTTTTGTCATGGTTTGGAATTGACTTTCTGAGCATTATTGTTACAGCATTATATGAATATTTTTAAGTAACTTTTTGTTATGAAAAATTTCAAACAAAAGGTGACAGAGTGATTCTCAACTTCAATAATTGTCAACTCATGTTTTTTTTCTGGACTTTCATTTAACATCCCGTCCTATCTATCATCCACTTCCAGTTATTTTGAAATGAATTTAATTAGTATTCTGTTTGGAAATACTTTAGCTTTATATTTAAGAGAGAAAAATGACTGGGCTGGGGTTGTAGCTCAGTGGTAGAGCACTTGCCTGGCATGTGTGAGGTGCTGGGTTGATTCTCAGTACCGCATATAAATAAATAAAGATCCATCARCAACTAAAAAAACATTAAAAAACTTAAAAAATGATTGTATATATGATTGTATATTAATGTAAGAGTTAAGCAAATTTTTAAAAATTAGGCAATACTTTTGTATTTCAAAATTTAAGCTTCCACAGGAGGCCTACACTCTGCAGCTCTGCTGCTACAATGTCTCTAGTGATTCCTGAGAAGTTCCAGCACAGTTTGCCAGTACGCAACATAAACATTGATGGGCAGCAGGAAATAGCCTTTGCCATCACTGTCATTAAGGGTGTGGAACGAAGATATGCTCATGTGGTGTTGAGGAAAACAGACTTCACCAAGAGGCTGGAGAATTCATTGTTGGTGAGGTTGAACGTGTGATCACCATTATGTATAATCCACGACAGTACAAAATCCTAGACTGGTTCTTGAACAGASAGAAGGCTGTAAAGAATGGAAAATTCAACCAGGTTCTGGCCAATGGTCTCGATAGTAAGCCCCAGGAGGACTTGGAGCAACTGAGGAAGATTAGGACCCATAGGGGGCTGTGCCAATTTTGGGACTTTGTATCCAAGGCCAGCAAACTAACACAACTGGTCACATGGCCAACACCGTAGGTTGTGTCCAAGAAGAAGTGAGTCTGTAGGCCTTTTCTGTTAATAAATAATTATATACCTTTAAAAAAAGGGGGGGTGTTGGGGTTGTGGCTCAGTGGTAGAGAACTTCCTAGCATGTGTGGGGCACTGGGTTCGATCCTCAGCACCACATAAAAATAAATAAACAAAATAAAGGTATTAAAAAAAGGCATAAAAGGGTGCAAATGATATGGTTTCTTTCTACGTTTGTTCAGTTTTCATTTTCCTTTTCTGGAAGCAACCATTTTTTACAAGTTTATCATGAATCTTTTCAGAAATTGTTTGCATACGGTAGGTATATGTGTGTGTGTATTCATCCACATGTTTAGATTTATTTATTCCCATCCTTTCGGACAAAAATGAAATTGGACTGTGTACTGTTCATTTGATGCTGTATGTTGGAGATTGTCCTCAGATAATTAACTTTCTAGTCACATAAAGTTCATTGTGTCATGTGTCAAACTTTTAAGGGTCACCAAATATAATTTGGTGATAATTTTTTTCTTAATAAATAATGGCCATATTATTGTAAGTATATAGTGTCTTAAAAAAAAAAAACTTTATTTGTGCCTGATGCCGTGTTGTGCATTGAGCTGGGCTTACCTGTGTTCCTTCTCTGGTAGTGTTGTCTAGGCTCACTTATTTGGCTGTAGCCATTTGGTAGCTGGATCATCAGGGTTGTTAAAAATGGCCTTACTCCCAAGTCTGTGGCTAA